CCAGCAAAACTGAGCTTCAAGTTTGACAATGAAATAAAAACCTTCCACGATAAACAAAAGGTAAAAGAATTTGCAGCCAGAAAAACAGCACTGCAAAGCATTTTGGGCAAAACACTACAGGAAGCGGAAACGAAAAACAACCAAAACCAACAGTGGGAAGTACCTCAGTAAATGGGAGGGGGGGACTAATTAAAGAGAAAAAACAAATCTAATTAAAAAATAATAAATAAATAAATAAACAAACATGACTGGAAGTACAAATCCTATATCAATAGTAACCCTAAACATTAATGGCTTAAACTCACCATAAGCGACATAGGCTAGTAACCTGGATTAAAAAAACAGATCCAATAATATGCTGCCTTCAGGCAACTCATCTGATAGGAAAAGACATACACAGGCTGAAGGTGAAAGGTTGGGAAAAATCATACCACTCACATGGACCTCAGAAGCAAGCAGGGGTGGCCATACTCAAATCAAATAAAACTGACTTCAAGCCTAAGTTAATCAAAAGGGATAAAGAAGGACACTATATACTGTTAAAGAAAACCATTCATCAACAAGACATAACAATCATCAATATATATGCCCCAAACAATGGTGCTGCTATATTCATAAAATAAACTCTCCTCAAGTTCAAGAGACAAATAGACCACAACACAATAATTATGGGTGACTTTAACACATATCTCTCACCACTGAACAGATCTTCAAACAAAAGTTGAATAAAGAAACTATAGAACTCAACAACACAATTAATAACCTAGACTTAACTGACATATATAGAATATATCAACCATCATCCAGCAGATATACTTTTTTCTCAGCAGCACATGGATCCTTCTCAAAAACAGACCATATATTATGCCATAGGGCAACTCTTAGAAATTATAAAGGAATAGAGATTATACCATGCATCTTATCCAATCATAATGGAATAAAACTGGAAATCAACGATAAAAGAAGGAAGAAAAAAATCCTACATCACTTGGAGAATGAACAATATGTTACTAAATGATCAACGGGTTACAGAAGACATCAAGGAGGAAATTAAAAAATTCTTAGAGATAAAGGAAAACACAGACACAACATATCGGAATCTATGGGACACAATGAAAGCAGTT